GGTTCCTGTAGGGGGCGTTAATGGTTTGTCTAACCGCAAAATGACCCAGAGCAGTCTCACGACAACGAGGGAAAGCTCCACTCACCCTTCCCGCCATCCCTCCGTCCCCTATCCCTCCCCCACCCCAAACAACAACATAACAGACTATGTTGGCACTCCTCTAATCTACACTCTATCTCTACTTACTCACGATCATCAAAATTATTATCCTCACACAGGATTAAGTCTATGCAAAACACACATACATATTCATTTACTCCTTCCTCTTATCCTTCTATTTTCTTACTCTATCACACACTCTCCTACATCCCAAACAACTTGGCTTCCCACTTTCCTGACCAGAACACACAGAAAAAGCTCCCCAAAAACCCCGAGGACTAGAACCGCGCGCTCCAATTACCTCCTATTATCGTCACACAGGATTAAGTCTATGACAAACACACACATACATATTCATTTACTCCTTCCTCATATTCCACTCTTATCCTTGTATTTCTTACCTGGAAATTCACCCCAAACCCTTTGTGACTAGAGCGACGCGCTGTGACTAGAGCGACGCGGTACACCTGCTCACCCACCTCTCAAGACCGCGTCCGACATGCTCCAAAATTTCCGGGAAAAATCCCCCCAAAAACCCCATGTGACTAGAGCGACGCGCGGTGACTAGAGCGACGCGGCACACCTGCCCAGATGGCACTCATGAGTGCCACCTGGGCAGGTGGCGCGCGTCGCTCTAGTCACATATTACACTACTCACGCCTCAAACCATAACCCAAAACTAGTCTGGTTCTACCCTCGTCCTCACAAATACAACACACACCTTCCCAATCAACTCAAACAACATAGTATAACAATACAATTTACAATCATATTTCCACAAACTATTCCTTGACTGAAAGGAAAAAAAAAGAGTGCGTTTACATTCCATGTTTTTGTAATTACATTTTGTGACGTGAAATCCGATTCTCTGAGCGCTCGAATGGCTACTAGAATTCAACACGAGCAAATGTAAAGTTATGGAAATGGGACTAGGAGATAGGAGACCAAAGGGACAGTACACAATGAAGGGGAACAGCCTACCTGTAACGACGCGTGAAAGAGACCTGGGGTGGACGTAACACCAAACCTGTCTCCTGAGCCCACATAAATAGAATAACGTCTGCGGCATATGCGACACTGGCTAACATCAGAACAGCGTTCAGGAACCTGTGTAAGGAATCATTCAGAATCTTGTACACCACATATGTAAGACCAATCCTGGAGTATGCGGCCCCAGCATGGAGCCCGTACCTTGTCAAGCACAAGACGAAGCTGGAAAAGGTCCAAAGGTATGCCACTAGACTAGTCCCAGAACTAAGAGGCATGAGTTACGAGGAAAGGCTGCGGGAAATGCACCTTACGACACTGGAAGACAGAAGAGTAAGGGGGGACATGATCACAACCTACAAAATCCTCAGAGGAATCGACCGGGTAAACAAGGATAAACTATTCAACACTGGTGGGACGCGAACAAGAGGACACAGGTGGAAACTGAGTACTCACATGAGCACAGAGACGTTAGAAGGAACTTTTTTAGTGTCAGAGTAGTTAACGGATGGAATGCATTAGGCAGTGATGTGGTGGAGGCTGACTCCATACACAGTTTTAAATGTAGATATGATAGAGCCCAGTAGGCTCAGGAATCTGTACACCAGTTGATTGACAGTTGAGCGGGACCAAAGAGCCAAAGCTCAACCCCCACAAGCACATATAGATGAGTACATATAGGTGAGTACACACACACACACACACACACACACACACACACACACACACACACACACACACACACACACACATACACACACGTTAGAAGGAACTTTTTCGGTGTCAGAGTAGTTAACGGATGGAATGCATTAGGCAGTGATGTGGTGGAGGCTGACTCCATACACAGTTTCAGATATAGATATGATACAGCCCAGTAGGCTTTGGAACCTGCACACCTGTTGATTGACAGTTGAGAAGCGGGCCCAAAGAGCCGAAGCTCAACCCCCGCAAGCACAACTACGTGAGCACACTCACACACTCTTATAAAATACTCAGGGGGGAATTGATAGAGTGGAAATAGAAGAAATGTTCACACTGAATACTAACAACATGGGAGGAAGAGATGTTAGGAAGAATTCCTTTAGAGTAGTGACAAAATAGAATGAATTAAAGGAGCAGGTTTTGGAAGCCAAATCTGTTCATAAATTCAAAAGTGGATATGATAGGGCAATAGGACAGGAGCCATTGCTTTAGACAACGGACGATTACAAAGGCGGGGTCCAAGAGCTTATGCTTGATCCTGCAAATTAGAAAACATTCCTCTTTGTAGACACAGACTTCCCGTTTTCTTTGTCCATGCATGCGGTCAGCTTCCAGGTTTGGACACCAGGGGGGACGATCCTCATCAGAGTGTTTTTTATATATCAATTAAAAACTTTCGCGCCAAATTAGACTATAAATGAAAGTTTATGCTAAAAGTTTTCATACTTTGTTTTCTGTGATGTGCGCATGTTAAACTAGTTTTAGTGGTTGGAAAAACAAGGTTTATGACGGTAATTGTGCCTTGTCAGCTTCCCTGCCCCCCCCCCCCACACACACAGGAATGGAAACAGCTTTGGGAGTGTAGACCTCAGGGCCCAGGTTCGATTGCTGGTCGTGGCAGAAACAAATAGGCCTAGTTTCTGACACCTGAAGATAATAACAGGTTAAACGCCTCGTTAGTTGGGCCGACGTCACACTTAGGTACTTAGATTACTTCAATTGTGGCAGTTGAACGTGGTAGACATGTACACCTACCCCCATGTACACCTGGCCCCATGTACACCTACCCCTCATGTACACCTTACCCATGTACACCTGGCCCCATGTACACCTGGCCTCATGTACACCTACCCCTCATGTACACCTGGCCCCATGTACACTTGGCCCCATGTACACCTAGCCCCATGTACACCTGGCCCCCATGAAGGATGTAACCTCCAATCAACGTACACAGGTGTGACGTCGACCAAGCTGACGAGGCGTTTGACCAGTAAACAGAGAGGCGTCATGAAAATATAATTAATAATAATAATAATAATAATAATAATAATAATAATAATAATAATAATAATAATAATAATAATAATAATAATAATAATAATAATAATATCAGATATTATATTAGAAGAAGAAGAATGGAAATAATCGCATCAAAACACTATTGTGTGGGGGTCAAAATAATGCTAAAAAAAAATGGTCGCTTGGTGCGGTATCAGAGAGGCAGATAATCCAATAATAATGCAATTGACACTCGCCTCTGCGACCTGGAGTGTGTTCCAGCGGCCACACCAAATCTGATTGGGGCGATTCGCCTATTCCGAGAGTCAGCTGATTGATAGAACAGGTGGTGGAGAATCAACTTTGATCTTGCTTGATTAGCCGCCCGGGTCGATAGGAGGGGATGTACGTATATGGTAGAGGTTGTGTGCGTGTGTCTGTGGGGCGCTTGAGTGCGTGTCTGTGGGGCACTTGTGTGCGTGTGTCTGTGGGGCACTTGTGTGCTGTGTCTGTGGGGCACTTGTCGTGTGTAAGCGTTACAGCAACACCTTATCCTTAGAGTACTTCCTTGAAGCCTCAAAGAAAGCCTCAGAGAGTACTCAGAAGCCAAGGAAAGCTTCAGAGAGTACTCAGAAGCCAAGGAAAGCTTCAGAGAGTACTCAGAAGCCAAGGAAAGCTTCAGAGAGTACTCAGAAGACAAGCAAAGCCTCAGAGAGTACTCAGAAGCCAAGCAAAGCTTCAGAGAGTACTCAGAAGCCAAGGAAAGCTTCAGAGAGTACTCAGAAGCCAAGGAAAGCTTCAGAGAGTACTCAGAAGCCAAGAAAAGCTTCAGAGAGTACTCAGAAGCCAAGCAAAGCTTCAGAGAGTACTCAGAAGCCAAGGAAAGCTTCAGAGAGTACTCAGAAGCCAAGCAAAGCCTCAGAGAGTACTCAGAAGCCAAGCAAAGCTTCAGAGAGTACTCAGAAGCCAAGGAACGAACTGAAGATTATATCATTAATACCTGGAGAAAAGTTTGAGTATACCTTAAGTATAACTGGAGTGTCCCTTGAGTATACCTGGAGTGGGTTCTGACAGTTCCTTTACTCTCCAAGCCCAGGCTGGGGGCCAGGGTATGCTTGTGGGGAGCTTGATCACACAGACTGTTGCTTCCAGCGAACTGGAAAATTATGCACAAAATATATATTGGATATCAATTTAAGCGAAAGAGGAGTAAAGTGAGGTAATTATGAGGAGAGAGGTAAGGTGAAGTAATTATGAGAAGGCAAGGTGAGGTAATTATGAGGTGAAAGGTAAGGTGAGGTAATTATGAGAAGGTAAGATGAGGTAATTATGAGGAGAAAGTACTTAGCATTATGAGTTTATAAGACTTTGAAGGGATATGAGGACAAGATGCTGGGATATGAGGACAAGATGCTGGGATATGAGGACAAGATGCTGGGATATGAGGGCAAGGAGCTGGGCTGTGGGGACAAGGTGCTGGGATATGGGGACAAGGAGCTGGGATATGAGGGCCAGGAGCTGGGATATGAGGACAAGGAGCTGGGATATGAGGACAAGGAGCTGGGATATGAGGACAAGGAGCTGGGATATGAGGACAAGGAGCTGGGATATGAGGACAAGGAGCTGGAATATGAGGGCCAGGAGCTGGGATGTGGGGACAAGGAGCTGGGATATGGGGACAAGGAGCTGGGAAATTAGGACAAGGAGCTGGGATATGAGGCTAGAGTGAATGAACGGCACCCAACCACCATATGACCTTAGGGGATCGAACGCCGACCCTGCAATAATCGAAAGGGGCATAATCATTTTTTATTATAATTATTATACGAAATAATAATTTTAGCGTTGATTTTAATTCTCGCTTCCAAGCCAACTCAATTTCAGCCATTTCCAAATCTGCGATTTTTTCCCAGCGCGCTAATCTCTCATCTCTTAACATTCCAAACGATGTCTTTTTCGTCAAACTTTTTTTTCCAATAATCGATAAAAGAGAAAAAAAAAAGTCTTTGATACCCCGAGTTGGAGAGTGTTGCCACCCCGTGATCTTCATAATTACTAAATTATAGCAATTCTGCATTAGGTTACATTATATATAATTTAGATATTGATCAATTAGTGTCTAATAATCATGTCATTGAGTTCACCTACTCTTTTTTAAATTATTTGTGTATTTTTTTGTTAGATTATGGAGCAATTTTTGGGCTGGTGTTGCCATATTAGGGTCAAGGGCTGTTTTATATTCACTCTGACGTGAGTAATTATGACTCATTGATGTTCGTAAGTTGTTCTTTTTTATCATGTTTTCTGCACTTTTTTGTTGCTGTTATAAAGCTGGAGTTTTGCTTTTGTTGTCGATGTTGCTCTTGTGACGTCAAAGTTATATTTGAGAATGAATAACTCTCTGTGTGTTGAATGAGTGTTTTGCATTTTTTTTCCATATCACTTGAATAAAGATGAATGAAAGTGGTTATATTTTGTGTTTATTATCGCGTGTGTGTGTGTACTCACCCACCCTGAAGCACTCATTACTATCTGATTCACCCTAATGCACCTGTTCACCTAGCAGGAAATAGGTACCAGGGGTAGTTAGACAACGGTTGTAGGGGTTGTACCCTTAAGGGGGGGGGGGCAGTGTAGTTCCACTTTGAGGGGGGGGGAGGGGGGTTAAGTGTGGGGTGACCTCAATGCAAGCCTAAAGTATATATATACACAGGCTTCCTGTCCCACCACAAAACGAGATTGTATTATTTGTTCTACTGTAATGTCCTAACAAGTGATTAATTGATTGATTGATGAAGATTAAGCCAGCCACGAGGTGGCACGGGCATGAATAGCCCCGTAATCACCTCATTTCGTGTGTATAGAAATATGTATGTCGATAACATGTCTCCTCTGCTCCTTCCGTCCTCCAGTGGTGTGATGTGCTCTCTTTGCCAGGAGTCATCAAGCACTGAACTATCCACTAACGAAACCTGTACATCTTTCCTCAATCATGGCGGCTCAGTTTACATTAATTAAACAGTTTACGAGCCCCGAAGCACTACGAGTTTGTTTATAATAATAATAACAACCCTGGTTTAATAACCCTACTTAACACAATAACTACCACTGTTATAGTGATAACAAGTCTAATATTTCTTCTAAAACAAAAATTAAATCAAATCAATTACAAGAAAAAATAATTCAGATCGTAGTTTACATAAATGATAATAAGAACATCAAATAATAATAATAATAATGGTGAAATTTTCAAAAGACTGGAGCCAGACTTCGCTTGTAAACACAGCCTGTGGACACTGCTCGAATTATCAGCCTTTCGCTTTCAAAAAAATGACAAAAAACTAAAACAGAGACAAACAGACAAGCAGAGCATAATTTACGTTTAATGGGCACTCGCGGCGTGCCACACACACACACACACACACACACACACACAACACACACACAAAACACACAAATGAGTTATGAATTCTCTCCTCAATTATCTCCCCAAAAAACTATTAAATTTCGTGTTGGTAATTGTTGGGAGAAAGTTGTGATTGGTATCATGACACGTGGTCATGGTATATATGTGGGCAGGTACATGTTGGGCAGGTACATGATGGTATATATATGGGCAGGTACATCTTGGACAGGTACATGATGGTATATATATGGGCAGGTACATGATGGTATATGTATGTGGGCAGGTACATGTTGGGCAGGTACATGATGGTATATATATGTGGGCAGGTACATGTTGGGCAGGTACATGATGGTATATATATGTAGGCAGGTACATGATGGGCAGGTACATGATGGTATATATATGTAGGCAGGTACATGTTGGGCAGGTACATGATGGTATATATATGTGGGCAGGTACATGTTGGGCAGGTACATGATGGTATATATATGTGGGCAGGTACATGTTGGGCAGGTACATGATGGAATATATATGTGGGCAGGTACATGTTGGGCAGGTACATGATGGTATATATATGTGGGCAGGTACATGATGGTATATATATATATATGTGGGCAGGTACATGATAGTATCATGATGGTATATATATGGGCAGGTACATGTTGGACAGGTACATGATGGTATATATATGTGGGCAGGTACATGTTGGGCAGGTACATGATGGTATATATATGTGGGCAGGTACATGTTGGGCAGGTACATGATGGTATATATATGTGGGCAGGTACATGTTGGGCAGGTACATGATGGTATATATATGTGGGCAGGTACATGTTGGGCAGGTACATGATGGTATATATATGTGGGCAGGTACATGTTGGGCAGGTACATGTTGGGCAGGTACATGATGGTATATATATGTAGGCAGGTACATGATGGGCAGGTACATGATGGTATATATATGTGGGCAGGTACATGTTGGGCAGGTACATGTTGGGCAGGTACTTGATGGTATATATATGTGGGCAGGTACATGATGGTATATATATGTGGGCAGGTACATGTTGGGGCAGGTACATGATGGAATATATATGTGGGCAGGTACATGTTAGGCAGGTACATGATGGTATATATATGTGGGCAGGTACATGATGGTATATATATGTGGGCAGGTACATGTTGGGCAGGTACATGATAGTATATATATGTGGGCAGGTACATGATGGTATATATATGTGGGCAGGTACATGATGGTATATATATGCAGGTACATGATAGTATATATATGTATATATACATGTGGGCAGGTACATGATGGTATATATATGTGGGCAGGTACATGATGGTATATATATGTGGGCAGGTACATGATGGTATATATATGTGGGCAGGTACATGTTGGGCAGGTACATGATGGTATATATATGTGGGCAGGTACATGTTGGGCAGGTACATGATGGTATATATATGTGGGCAGGTACATGTTGGGCAGGTACATCATGGTATATATATGTGGGCAGGTACATGTTGGGCAGGTACATGATGGTATATATATGTGGGCAGGTACATGTTGGGCAGGTACATGATGGTATATATAATAGACAGGTACACTTACTGTGGCTTACATATGATCTTAGCCTTGTTAATAATCCGTTCCACCTCACCCTTCTCCACCACATTTCATTCCCTTTCCCTTCAGCCTAATTTCTCTTCCTCCATTTCACTCCTCATTCTTCCCCTCCCCCATCATTACCCCTTCCCTCCCCTCACCCCTCACTCCCCCTCATCCCGCCTCCAGCAACAGGTTCTTTGAGACAGAAAAATTCCTGCAAGATTTGCCGACGATTACATCAAAATTGCAATTCGTTCCACTTTTTTCCTTTCGCTTGAGGCCTGGAAAAACCATGAATACTTATGGCCTTAATTTGTGTCTTGTCTTCGTTGTGGCCACCTGGTGATGGTAGAGCTCTCTTGTTGTGTGTCTGTGTGGCCACCTGGTGATGGTAGAGCTCTCTTGTTGTGTGTCTGTGTGGCCACCTGGTGATGGTAGAGCTCTCTTGTTGTGTGTCTGTGTGGCTACCTGGTGATGGTAGAGCTCTCTTGGTGTGTGTCTGTGTGGCTACCTGGTGATGGTAGAGCTCTCTTGTTGTGTGTCTGTGTGGCCACCTGGTGATGGTACAGCTCTCTTGGTGTGTGTCTGTGTGGTAACCTGGTGATGGTAGAGCTCTCTTGGTGTGTGTCTGTGTGGCCACTTGGTGATGGTAGAGCTCTCTTGGTGTGTGTCTGTGTGGCCACCTGGTGATGGTAGAGCTCTCTTGGTGTGTGTCTGTGTGGCCACCTGGTGATAGTAGAGCTCTCTTGGTGTGTGTCTGTGTGGCCACCTGGTGATGGTAGAGCTCTCTTGTTGTGTGTCTGTGTGGCTACCTGGTGATGGTAGAGCTCTCTTGTTGTGTGTCTGTGTGGCCACCTGGTGATGGTAGAGCTCTCTTGGTGTGTGTCTGTGTGGCCACCTGGTGATGGTAGAGCTCTCTTGGTGTGTGTCTGTGTGGCCACCAGGTGATGGTAGAGCTCTCTTGTTGTGTGTCTGTGTGGCCACCTGGTGATGGTAGAGCTCTCTTGGT